CACTAGTGTGAATGTGTTTCCACGGTGTATGATCAGTATAGTGATTTTACCCGCTCTGCACTATTGTGAATGTGTTTCCATAATGTATGACCATTTTATAGCTCTGCGCGCGTACGACCAGAATTTCAGAATTGAATAACCTTGCTATGTAGATCGAGATTAATCGATTCACGAGTATGGTTATTCCGGGTACATTTTTGGTGTGATGTTTCAGTATCACATAGCTTATCAAATTTTAGAAATGCAGTATACAGAATAAAGATGTTTATGATTACAGTATATTTTAATTTTGATTGTATCATCAGATTTTAAGCTACAAAACTCAACCTATTCAGTTTAAAGAATAAATATTTAGTTTATATGTCTGTGAAAAGAAATTTTATACTATATGTCGATTTTAAGAAATATTTTATGAATAGAAAATTATATTTTTGCAAATATCCACTCACTGAGTTATATGCTCACATTTTTATCACTATTTCTCTAATCAGATAGTAGCTGAGTTGAACACTACTGGGCCAGTTGATCTATCAAGTTGAGCCATAGATTGTCAAGCATTGTATGAACTATCTTTTCAGTTTAAGAGTTCATATTTTGGGATAGACACCTCTTTTGGTCATAAATTAGTTCCATGTGTTGGGCTTGCTATGTTTTGTATATATATTATGCATTTTGGGTACTGTGGTTTAGAAATTGTTGCAAAAGTCGAATTGCCAGTGTTTTATTTGAATAGTTGATATTTTGAGGGGCCGGTGTACCCTATTTCAAATGATATGTACATGTTTGAGATATTTGATTTTATTTTCAGGTAGTTTTAGTCCATTTTTCAGAGGGAACTCAGCCGAAATTTTTATAAAATTATAACAGTCATAGCATGTCAAGTTTGCCTTGGTGGTGGGTCCGGCACTTCGCTGGTATCTACCATCGGCGCACGACACGTGTTAGATTCATTAGGATGATCGGGACGGGTCGTGTCACACAGTGTATAGATAACTAAAAGGTAGCTAGGGATATTACATAAATTGAATGTATACACGAATGTCATATACAGTAGTGAATTCAGGATTGAAGGTCAGTGAGGACGATCGTTGACTATTAATCGTCGACAGTCTCAACTAAAAACAGTCACAATCATAACTGATTAAACATAAATCATAAATGATAAATCAATAAATGAACTAAAGTTTAAAAAAATAAATACCAAATAAAGAGAGAGAGGCAGAAAGACTCACAAGTCACAGAGTCAAGGAGAGTGGAAAGGCGGCATTGGTGCCGACTCGTCGATAGCCAGCACGACAACAGGTCACGGGGTAGGGGCTGAGTCAGTGTGCAATGGGAAGGAGGGAGGGAGCGAGAATGTGAGATAGGTTTTGCTTGCTACTTTCTTGTTGCTGCTGCTTGGTTTGTTATTTGAAATGCAATTGAATTGTAAAACAATATAATTATACAGACCATTAAACCATCAGTCTCGATCCAATGGATTGGGTTAATTATTATTATTATTATTATTATTATTATTATAAAGCAAGAAGCCCAAAAGAAAGGACACACAATTTTAAAAAAAAGGCCCAATTCACCCTCCATCTTCCAAACGCTTCCGTCGCTGACTTCATTCACCTGCGTTGCAAGTTTCATCAATGGCTTCCAATGGCGACTATAAATTTCGACGGAGCCAGCACGTGAGGTCGCACCCCTCGCTGAGTGGTGGCTCCTCCATTGGTCATATATTCTCAATTTGAGGAGATCATCATACGTCATAGTTGATGCTTAGTCTCTAAATAATGTCATCACTTGTTCTCCAATCACGGCTTGTGGTCTTTACGTCATATTCATCATGGAAAATTCTCCAACACTAGTACCAAATTAATGCATCCTGAATTTTGATAAGCAATTTGCTTGTTTTCAAAGATTTGAGGACTAATTTGCTGATGTACAATAGGTTGAGGGCGAGTAGCGTAATTTTTCCTTTAAATGAATATTAACAAGAAGCTGCTTTATCTTCTCATAACAAGCTGGCACTCTTTTGTCAAAAAACTTAAATAATTAAGTTGACTCTATTATTGTAACGACACCATAATTAATTTTAGTGACCTTGGAAAGGTACACTGTCTTAGTTTATTTAAGGCTGCCTTATTTTTGGACCTTAATTTATATGCTAGCTTAATTTTCTATTTTGCACCAATATATTGTCTTATTTGTACAAAAAAAAATTCATGTATTTACTTTAGTAATTCAATATTGTTCATATTAACTAAGGATTTTCTCATGATAGCTACCCATTTTCAAGATTAGTCATGGTTTATTTGAGTTTTTCCTTCACGTGTAAGCTAAAATCGTATTCTTTTTTTATCATGTAAGGATTAACCTTTCATTTCTATGGTCGATGGGAGTAGGCAACATTAATCTTTGCATACTCTATTAATAAGTTCTACTATTTCGTCTAAAAAAAATTAAATAATTGGAATAGATAAATTTGTTGATTTCAATATAATTTTCAAATGTTAGATGACTTAGAATGAATCAACTAGGTAAATACCAAGAGTTTGTAGCTTGAAATTGTCGAATGATTAGAGTTGTTTCGTTGCGTTCAAATGAAACTATACAAAAGTTCTCATAATTTGATGACATACAATTACTTTCGTTGAGCAAGTTTGGTAGAATTTTAACTATTATTTCTCAAGATTTTAAACTCAGTCTAATGGCTCTACAACAATTCGTAAAAACAACTAATATGTAATTTATTTTGCAATGATTTGAGATGAGTGGAGCGTTAATTTCAATCGTATCTTGAATCAACACGTAATTATATAACATTTTCTTAAGAGAATATGGATTATGCTACATTTTTAATATTTTCATTTTCACATGCTTCAGTCGTCTCAAAAAATATAAATATCCATTTATTTATCTTGCTTCTAAAATATTTTTATCCCGGTACAAAATTTCAGTTTTAGTTCATACATTTTACATTAATATTAAGCCCTTGTTTGATCCTCATTTTGGGGGAAACAATATATTTTGATTAGCAGATTTATGGAGAATGTGTGACTAAAAATTAAAGAAATTTTTTGAATTTGCGTGTAATATTATTTCATTGAAGAATGTGCGTTTGAAAATGAGTTTTGAAAAAATGAATTTTTCGAAGAATGTAAATCAAACAATGGCTAAATATAAACAGACAGTACAATATATAAGTTTTAATTATTATTTTTTTAAATATTATTTTATTTAATGCAGAGATAAATAGAGATATTCGAATACAAGATAAGAATGAAAGGACCCCGCCCTGACCCTTGGCATGGCATATAAGTACTATTGTTGAATGGCATATTGATTGCTCACTTGTTTGTAATGTCGTATTCATTTATGATTTGTGACAGTTTATAGAGGCTTAAAATGGAAAACTATTCTCAATTATACCTTAGATTAAAGATGAAAAAAGAGATGTTACATAGAATTGTATGTCTTTTCTAAATGGCCAAATGCCAAGATCCAAATTAAGTAGCTTGTCACCAAACTTTGGTATAATAAATAAATATATGTGGGGTTCTAACTAAATGCCACACCTATAAGTCTCAAGAAAATTCTATTTATTTAGAGTAGAAATGGAAATGGATGGCAATTATTATATACCTCATTTATTAAGTTTCTCATTCGTTTTAGTTAGAGGCATGTAGTTTATGAATAAATAAAATATTTCAAATAGTCGCATAGCCCCTGTTTGGAGGAAATTTTTAGGGCAAAAAAATCAATTTTTTGACCGTTTACAACCATTTGCAACCGTTATTTTTTACACTCTCACATGTGGGTACCAGGTGACCAAACAAGGGTCATAAAATTGCTTTTCTTTTTGTGAAAGAGCTGCTCCAAATAGGGGCATAATACGATATGTTTAGAATTCACTTCAAAATCCACCTAGGTGCGTAGGTAGAGAATCAATTAGACGTATAAATAAAACATTACAAAAATTTGTATGACTTTATTTGTTTATGAAATGTGATTACCATTAAATCTTGACAAAAAAAATAATAATAAGCGAAAAATATCAAGTTTCTTGATTTATTTAGTTTTTTCCCATATGTGTACACATGATATATAATTCTAATCTCTTAAATTAAAAACTTTTATGAGTCGTATTGTTGAGAATATTATAGATTTTTGTAATTATTCATTTAAATAGGAAAAAATTTAAATAGCAGCAGAAAAACTATGCGCGGCCAAGTTGCACGAGACATAAAGACTCATTGAATCTCCTTAATTATTTGGTATCAATATTGAGTAGTGATTGAATTTGCAATAATTAGTCAAAAAGCATATTCATGAACAAAATTTCAAAGACAAATAGGATTCGACTGCTTTTTTTGGAAGGAATAATAATCTTGACAACTTGGTATAGCATCTCTATTTTTACTTTTGTTTTTTGATTTATTGGTCTTGTCCTGCCTTGTCGTTTACTATTGTTTCACTGCCTTTGTCTCAGTGTAACTTTATTCTCAACATCAGTAAACAAAGAAAATAAGAGTTACACTTTATTCTTGGGAAAATTGGAGCTGAAGGTCGCTAACTTTCTACTCGTGTCAAATTTCCATCTGTAATCTTTCAATTTGTTTGTACCGAAGCCGTCAAAACTGAACAATTAGCACACGATTGTGTTTTCAAGGAACAAAATATCGTTAAAAAGGTGATGAAGTTGGGAAAGAAAGATAGACGTTTTCACAAAACTTTAGTTGAAAAACTGTTCTACACGAGTTATATCGAACCATATTTTTAAAGTTGTCGAATATTTTCTTGTGGAAAATACCATGTGCAGCTGATGTTTGATTTCCGATGTTATTTAGAACAAAATAAAATATTCGAGACAAACGTGTTCTTTTTTAAAAGTTAAATTACCCAAAAGCAACATTGAGTAAAGATATGGGACCTCCCTAACAATTTGTGATGTGAGAGAGAGATTTGTGTTCATTTATATTCAAGGAACTTCCAAAAATTGGGTTCTCTCTCTTCAGACGGACACTCGTTTTTGTCCATCTTCTTTATCCTGTACTATTTATTCTACTACCAACAGTAATTTGTTTAGTCTCTAACCTGCCTTTTCTAGTCATTTTACAAATCTGTGTAGTGTAAAATTTACCAGGGATTTGTCAAAGAAACAATGACTTAATGTTGCTAATAATTCAGACACAGAGAGAGACACTTGCATCTCGTTCTTTGCAAAATTAAGCTGAAAGCTTGATTCTTTAGTCTCTTCTTCAATGCCATTCTTCTCCAAATCTGTAAGTCTCTCTCTTCAAAAGCACTTGTTTTTGTATCACGTGTGTCAAATCCCTTTTTTTCTTGCTTCTTGTTATTGATTTTCGTTATTTTCTTCTTTTTCTTGGTAATAGAAACGATAATTAACAGCTAGAATTATATTTTATTCTGTTTTGTCCTGATCTTAAAAATTTCTTGAATATTTTGTTTCTTTATTTTCTCTTCTCTGATATGTAAATGTTTCAATTTGAATACAAGATCTGGCTCAATTCTGGGCTCATTCTAGTACCCCCGAAGTGTGATTCTCTCTTGGTTAGTTTGTGGGATTTTCTTTTATTATTGACATAACGTTACATATTTTGGGTTTTCTTCGTTAGAATTTTGTTCATTTTAGTCCTTTTTTGGTGACGTTAACTACGGGAATTAAGATTTTCTGAAGAAATTTAAGTTACAAGGGTTTTGACATTAATGTATGGGCGTGTTGTCAAGAATTCGAGGAATTATTCCGAGCCTGTCGTGCCAATCCCCTACCCTAAAGGTGACCAAATCTATTCTTTACAAGAAGATTATAATGCTTCTTGGTTAAACTATTTTTAGTCATTTTGTAATTATGTACCCCGGTAGAGGAATTAGGAAGTTGTACAGTGGTAATGGAAGGTCAACTATATAGTCATGCTCAGTGGCGGATCCATCTGAGTTTGGGCGGACGCTCGACGGCCTCAGCCCAGTATATGGGGAAAAAATCCCAGCTGAGCCAGCACGGGCTGCTACCATGGCTTGCCAGTTGTTGGCTTCGCTTTTCTTAGATAATAAGCTCTACTTTTTATTTTATAATTTTAAGGGGTCTCTCTTTTGATCTTATAGTTGATGAAAGGTCAAAGGCTGGTCATGCTGTTTCTCGGGTGTGCAAATCTTCAGTTTACTTAAGATTGTCTTCTCTTTTCAGTGTTAGTCGAATTTTTTTTTTTTTTTTTCACTTGGTGGCCAATGAGTGCAAACTTGTGTCTTGATAATGTTTTGAATCTGTGTGTTTTGCTGGTGTATTAACCGACTTTAAAATATCATTTAATGAATAGATTTCCTCTATTGTTTTGTCAGATGTCGTGGTCTATTCAAAATTTATAGGTTCTTATTTGCTGGCTCCTCTTTCCATTTTTCCTGGTTGGCATATTGGTATATTGGTATCAGATTTTATATTGTTCAGTTCTTGACCAAATTAAATTTTTTGAAGTTCAAGATTGTAGTACTCTTAGGTGTCATCTCTGAAACTTGTATGTGCATTGTTATGGAAAGATACAATGGTTACTTCAGAAGCCTGAGAGTTTTCTTACAGGAAGTTTATTATTGTTTTTCTTTTCCTGGTTGCTGCATCAGTATCAGTGTTGCTAGCGATATTATATCCATTTCTCGAACAGTGAGAATTTTAAAGAATCAAATTGCAATTCTCTCTTGACATGCCATTGCAATACAACTTTTACTTACGAGAGTCTTGAACCAATCTTCAAGTCACATGATTGGAAAAAGGTAGATCGAAAAAGCCACTTTGCAAGATTTAGGATACGTATAATCAATAATTACACGAGAGGCTGCATTGTGGCTTTCCACTTCTTGAAGTTAAAAAAAAGTATATTGGCACTCTTTTTACTGAATCTTCTGATTCCTTTTTCAGTTCCTCTACATAATTTTGCTAACAAATTTTCCCTGGGCGAACAGTGCCTTTCTCATCGAATTGCAGACTACCAACTCTTTGTCATGTACAAATGCACTTGAATTGCTTAAGTAACATGCTTAAGCATAAAATGAAGGTTCTAGAGAGTACGTAGATAATGGGCAGTTAAAGAAATTACTTAATCAAGGTAATTGAGTTTGGCGATGACCATTTATTAAATAGCTAGACATATATTATTCACATTCATCATTTTCTTGGCTATTTCAAAGAATCAGCTCCATAGAACAATCTATTAGTGGACGGACTAACAGATGAACTTCTTCCACTATGTTATACAGTTCTCTTTTTAAGAACTTAAGCGACCACGTGCTCTAGTTTTACTGAGAAGGATAATGTCATGAGTTGGATATGAGACGATTCCTTTTCATCTACGTGCTTGGGAGATAACTAGGAAGATTGAGTTACTGTATGCTGCAAACCAACAATGTTTTGGATGTTTATATTTGCATTGTTGAGTTCCATTCCCAATTCCCTTCTCTTTTATCGTTACAGTTTTTAAATTTTTATGTTTACGAAAAATTTCCTAGGGAACACATTACACTGTTGCCTCGGTTTCAGTTGATTTTAAGCATGTGATGTTCGTATCAAAAGTTTCCAGACACCACCTTTGTACTATCATAAATCTTGTGGAAAAACGTACACTAATGGTATGTGTGGCAAGATAGATTAAAAGTAATGGAAAGTATTGAAAAATAAATGCAATCTGAAATTTCGTTCTTTGCATTATCCATTGCCATAACATGCACTAATTATTTCGTGTAGCATGGTTATCAGATAATAATGTGGATTGTCAAAATCATCGGCTGTTATGTACGAAGATCTCTTGTGCAATAAACTGAAGAAATTTGGAATTGGGGAAGAAAAAAATGTTGATGTTGTTTTATCTATGTATTATTGTCTTCCCTATTTTTTTTTATTTTTTTTTCATTTTGATATGTAAGTTTAAAATGCCCTTTCTCTGATTTCCTTTGCCGACTCTGTTACTCACAAGCCTTATGCTTGCTTATTTTGTCCAGATATACAAGATGCCATTTGGTCTGGTTTGATATACAGTTTCCTTACAGAAGCAACATGGCATTAGGATCCAAAAAAGGGTGGAAATCAGTAGTTCCCCTCCATTTGAAAGGAAAATCAGCTCCGCGGTTTTGGTTATTCCCCAAAACAAAGTCAGCCAATTTTGGTCCTGGGAATACTCCGGTTTATCTCAATGTATATGACTTGACACCAATGAATGGTTATGTCTATTGGGCTGGCCTAGGTATTTTTCACTCTGGTGTGGAAGGTAAATTCAACTGTCTTTGTCATATTATCTTTTAGATCTAATCTCCTACGCACAGCAGGCAGTATAAAAATTTCTCAAAGTTGAGATGGTAGGAGAACTTTACTTACGGTTTTCTGCAACGGTTATACATTTAGAGAACAATACTTAAGGTTCTCTTTGGCACATCAGCAGTGAGAATTTTTTATCTTGCCCCCATGGGCAGTAGATCAATATATATCTTTTATGTCTCTAGTTCCCATTTCTTATTTCTTAAGAAAGCACACAATTCTGATATGTCGTGATAAAGTTCAGCAAGGGCAATCATGTTTTGATACAATGCAACAACATCCATCTGTCATTTGGAGTTTGACTAAAAAAAGCCATGAAATTCTATTCTGAAAATGAAAAATAAAATGAAAAGACGAGTTTGCTCGACTAATTTACTAAAAATTGAAAAGAAATTATCTAGTATGGTAGTTTTATGATATTAGTAAACCTGCAGCCGTCAAAAGAAAGAACTATATTTTTTTTCTTAATTATCCCAGTCTGTACTTTACAGTTCACGGTGTAGAGTATGCATTCGGAGCTCATGACTATCCTTCAAGTGGCGTGTTCGAAGTTGAACCCCGACAATGCCCGGGTTTTAAGTTTAGGAAGTCAATATTCATTGGGACGACGTGCTTGGACAGCACCCAGGTTAGGGAGTTCATGGAACGTCAAGCTGCAAGTTACAATGGTGATACATATCACTTGATCGTCAAGAACTGTAACCATTTCTGCAAGGACATATGTTACAAATTAACAGGGAAGAGAATTCCAAAATGGGTAAATCGACTGGCAAAATTGGGTACTTTTCTTCAACCATATGCCCACTTCAAGAAAGTTGACATTCATTTATCCAAATGCAGTTTTTTGTATCCACTCCTATAGCAAACTTATCAGCATCTACTGAGCTAAGTTATTTTCGTTTTTTAGGTTCGATCTTCAATTGTGTTTTACCCGAAGCCCTTAAAATTAGTGCGGTGCAACACGACCACAAAGGCCAAGGATATGATGATAGTGAAAAGAGAAGGCTAAGAAGTACTTTCAGTTGTCTGTCGTCAATTTCAATGAGACAGAGGCAGTTGTCAACATCTTCCTTGTTTCTACAGTCCCCATTAAAAGGATGCTTGCCAACTTGGGAATTGAGAAGGTCGATGAGTGGCTCGCTCAAGGTAAGGTAAGTTGAAAAATGGCTTCATAAAATTTCGTTTTCTTGTGCTTATGCATGTTTTCATGGTGAAGCTATATATGCTTGGGTGAGTAGTTTGTGAATCGTGACATTTTCTTGACCTCTTGATTTTTCCCTGTCAGTGTAACAATGTGTTCGTCTTTTAAGGGATCGGATGTTGTAAATCAACTTGTATTGAAGGGACTTAAAGAAAGTATCTCGAATTTCATGTTAACAATATTTCATTTTCGATTGTGTCGCTTGGTAATACATTGGATATCTTTGTTAAAAAAGTAAAAATGGATTCGTCACGTAAGAAAAGGATACTAAATTTTGTTATGGAATCCTTAAATGAAACAAAACTGAAAGTTGAGTAATGAATTCAAAATAAAAAAGCTAGTGACTCGAATGAAACTTCGTTCAAATTTGAGCAACCTTCCATCATTTTTATTTTCACTATCTGTCTGGTACAAAAATAAAAAATTATGAGGAAATTAGATGGAGATGTCATGTGAATTATTCTTCTTGTACAATCGGAGTTAACAACTCTGATTGACAATGTATTCATAGGAGGGGGTCCATGATTTTTTTATTCAGCGTGGGCCCTTCTCCCATATGTCTAATTGTTAACTGGGGTTGTCAACCTCGATTGTACACATAGCACAACTGGATGTCATGTAACTTTCAGACAAATTGCACAGTTTCTTAGTTTACTAGGATTCCTTGATGACTATAGTCAGCTATCTTCAATCTCGTAAAGTCGCGCCAGCTATTTTGGGCCCATATCTTATGCATCCCGGAAACTCTCATTTCTTTAACCGGAAAACTGGGTTTCTCGACAATTTTAGAATTATTAATCTTTTTCAGAAATCAAAGTAGAATTAGCCTTGTGTATGTAGATTACAAAAGGTATCGACAACAATGACAATAATAATAATAACTGAACACCCGCCACCTCACCACCATTGACAGCACCACAACTACCTCACTATCGCTGCTAGCATCATCACCGTTGCTAGCACCATCACCTCCTGCACCAACTACACCACACCACCTGAACAACCATAGGAAGAAAAAACAACCAACAAAAATCAACCCAAAACTCCAACTAAGCAGATTATAGGAAGAAGAAACCCTACAAAACCCCCAAACCATTGTCATCGTGGCTCTACTCTACCAAGTCGGGAATCTATAGATTAGAAGGATATTTTGGGGGAAATCTATGAAATGATCTTCACTACCACTAGATCTCCGGTGACAATCTATTTCCCACCTTCAAATCCGACCTACGAAGTCTAAGAAACACTCAAAGCTAGTTGTTATAGAGACTTCTTCTGTCCATCGTACGAGCACCACCACCATTGGATGTTCAACGAAGATTCCGTTCCCATCCTTCTCTGTGATTGTCGCCACGAATGGGCAGTATGCTTTGGCCATGGCACACACAGACGTGGCGTGGTGATTAATGAAACAAACAGTTCTTATGGGAGTGAAGACAGTGGTCTTGGTGAGTGGGAGGGATTGAATATAACTGATTTTTTTATTTTAAAAATAATAATAATAATAATAACCAATACCTGAATTTTGAAATTAAAACTTTAGGGTTTAAGGGAATTTTCTCAAATAATAATAATAAATAAAGTAGTCTTGATCCGAATAGAGTTCACTTCACTAAGCTTTGCAGGAAGATTGGACTTCTTTCCCATGATATCACGAATAATTTATTTATTTATACTTTTTTGGGTATGTGGAAACTGGCCATCCACATTCAGTCCGGCGCTATATTACCTGTGGTTATAAAGGGATTTTCAATATAGAAATTTATCCATTTATTCAATGAGAGACAAGATAAACGAAGCTAATATCACTTGAAATCTCTGCCTGGTTACGATAACTAGAGAAGTGTTTATTCCATGGAAACCATTGGTTGAAACTCGAGCAAAGGAACCTGCAATAACAGGAACTAAAGACAACTGCTGAACTATGAAGCAACTAAACTACAGATTGCTTGGAGTAGGATACCAAGAGGATTTGCTAGAGAAGGATTTGGTTATCCTGTCGGAATGCAATGAAATAGGATTCACATTAGTCTAATTCTTTATATTCAAAATCAGCAGGGAAGTATTTGGAATGTCAAGATCATCATTATGCATTTCCGAGATCAAAGTATTTCACAAAATGAAGTGAAGTTCATTTATACTACTAAATTACGCAGAGAGAACAAATCTGTATTGTTTATAGCATCTCATAAGCAAGAGACATACTTGTTTAGGACACAAACTATTCCTTCGCTTTTCCTCTCCTATGATATCTATATTCACTCGAAAGGCAGCAATCCCGTTGCCTATTCAACTAGATCAAACAGCACATATACACATATCTGCAGAACAAATAACCAGATAAAACCCAATACATGGTAGCAAAAGAGAGAACAAAAAACACTAATCTTTACTCATTTTGAGCAAAGTACAGAAATAATAACAAAGAATCCATCTTTTCCCTTATGGAATACATTATAATCCCTACACTAAATTTAAAACAAATATCCCATTTCAAATGGTAATTGTTCTTTCACCACCATAACGAATGATCAATCAAAGTATCTAGCCATTATCTGATAACCAAAAAGGTTGCAGTCGACTCTAATTTATTGAGAATACAGCTTTCTTTGTTATTCTTCGTTTATTGCATTTGAAATTCAAATTTAATATCTTCAATACCATCAAATGAAGCACCATCATACCTGAACAAATCAACAAGCTATCCAATTCTTATGTGTACTAATGATAGCAGACAAGAGCCCTGCTGATGAAACCAACATCGGCGCAGAAAGCCTTCCTTTACCGTCTCGAATATCAGCCAATGCCATCAATCCATCCGCCAAATCCTGAATTGTCGAAAGCTTCTTCATGAACTTCTTCTCCCTCAATTTCCTCAACTTCCCCATCTCCTCTTCGCACCGAATTCCCCTCAACTCGGCCACTTCAATGATCGTCATCAAACACCTCTCATCCTCACTAATTTTCCTCAATTCTCTAACCTTCAAACTCACGCTCCCAAAATAACCAATAAACTCGCACCAAGCACTCAATTTTTGCAATCTATTCAAATACCTTTTATCAATCAAACCCGTTTTTCCTAGCCAAACAAACTGTTCGATAAAATAATACAACCCCTCTCCTCCATAGGCTATTAAAAAAAGAAAAAAGTCCAAATCATACCCAGAACTAAAGTTCGCCGTCCTTAAAGCATTCACATCCTGAACAAATTTGCCCAAGCGAAACGCTTTACGGCTTATTCCGACGCTTGACTCGAAGGATTTAAGGCGATTAATTAATGGGTTTTTCGTGTCAGGGATTACTGAGGAGGCCAGAATTATTTTGGTAGCATAGCGTGAGATTTTGAGTAGTTTGTCTACACCATCTCTTTTGGCCAAGTAGATTTCCAGGTGGTTCGAGAAATCTTTAGTTGGCTTTGTTGAAGGAACCTGGGTTTTGGAATTTTGAGTTGAAACTTTCGATTCCATGGAGTTTTACAGAGAATTTGAAATTGACGAAGAAGATCCAATGTTCGTTATTTTATTTTCCTTTAAAACAAATGAAATCGAAGTTGGGCATGACTCGTAAAAGGGAAATTATATCCTTTATCCCCGACTTTTAAAGAGTATCAAGTTTTTCTTCAATATTATGTTTATTTTCGTATAGTCAATATTTAATTAAAGAAGCTATTTAAATCTAGGTCATAACATCAAGCAAATCTCTTAAAATTATCTTCACAAAGTTAGATTTTGCTTCCAAAGTCATTCGATGCCTAGATATTTGAGGTGGAATATGCTTTCTTCGAAAAATCATGTGACAGTTTAATGAAAATTTGACTAAAGGAACTATTTAAATCTACATAATAACATCGAACAAATCTCTTAAAACTATCTTCACAAACTTAGATTTTGCTTCCAAAGTCATTCGGTGGTTGGATATTTGAGGTGGAATATGTTTCTTCAAAAAATCGTGTGACAATTTAACAAAATTTTGAAGTAGTGTATATGATAGTAGACCACTATATATCAGTGACTTCATTGCTGTATATGTTATTTTCATCACAATAATGATGAATTACTTTATTCTTTAAAAGATAATAAATTGACTAAGAACTTTTTTTCTTATTATCACACAATCAATCTCTAATGGTAAAAAATCCATATAAGTGCTAAATCTTCACGTGATCCTTATATCTAATTTTACGAAGTTAAGTTTTGCTTCATAACTTAAATTGGTGTTTAAAAATTTGAAGTGAGACATGTCTTTATGACTAGTGAGTGTGACAGTTTATTTAACATTTAAATGAGTTTTGTCATTGAAAATTGATTGGCCAGAAAGATAATGAAAGATAAGAGAACAATTTTGATTTTCCTAAAATTATGGGATCAACTTGCTACTGAAACAATACATTGAGTTCCGATGTGCAGTTTTCAATCTGAATATGGTCTTCTTGATGTGTGTGCCTGTGATGTAATATTTATCAACCATTTCTTTTAATTACAGCTTATTTGGCAGGAATTTTGATAATTGAATATTTGACCGTTAGAAATATATTAGGTCCTATCTATAAAAAAAAAGAATCAAAAAATGACGACTGGAATAGTGAAATTCAAATTAGAGTTTGTTTGGCAGGGATTTTGATAATTGATTTTTTTACCGTTAGAAATAGAGTGGGTCTCACCTGTGAAAAAAGAATTAAAAAATGATAACTAAAATAGTGAAATTCAAATAACGGTCAAAAAATTAATTTTAATTGACTTAAAATCTATACCAAACAAGCACTTAGTCGAATAACATTATTTTTCAATTAATGAAAATAAATTGTTTTCTCTTTCTTTATGACATCTCAATAATAGAGTAATACTATTTAGTTCCATTGAAATTACAAATTCAGTCAAGATGGCACTAATGTATCATTAATTGATAGGTGAAACTAAATAAAATATTTAATTACACCTTTCATTTACTCTATTATCTAGTGTCACTGAAATTGGAATTGCAACTCGAGTCTGATTACATAACATTACTTCAATAATATTGTTATGGGCATTTTTTAAAGTGTCAAATTTGAGCACTTATTTGACGGGTTCAATTTTAAGTGATTTTTAAAACAAGCTTAACAGAAGCTTAAGGGCATGTTTGAGAGTTTTAGAGCACCGGTTTTGAGCGTTTTTTAAAGTATCGATTTTAACCATTTATGATTGGATTGATTTTGAATGATTTTAGTATCGATTTTCAAAATAGTTCAATACATGCTTGAGAGTTTATTATTCATTGATTTTTTGTACAATTTTTTTCTTATAAGTGATATTTTACTTACACATAATTTATTTACATATAAGTCCCTGTTTGATGGCCTTTAAAGTAAAACATTTTTTTTTTACATATTTATTTTCAACTACACATTCACACAATAAAATATTATATATGTAAACTCAAAAATTTTCATTACTTTTTAACTATATATTCTCCAAAATTTTATTATTCAAAACATTATTTTTGGTAAATAATGGCCACCAAACATGTGCTAAGTTAATAAAAGTTAAATAATTACTTAAAATTTTAAGTTAGTATTTTTTTACTTATAAGTAAACTTTACAATTATAATTTAATTTTTTATTTTTAAATAATTTTATACGTAAGTGAATTTTTAATTATAAGTAACTTATATTAATATAAGTAAATTTTTGGCTTACTAGTAGTAGTTTTATTATACGAACAAATTTTTACACAAAAGTGATTTTTTATCTTACAAATAAAATGTTTTTATAAGTAATTTTTTAACTATACCGTATTTGTTTGTTCATAAATAATTTTTTAAGTTAATATATTTTTATTTACAAGTTAGTTTTAAAGAAAATATATTGGAAGAAAATATATTGGATGAAGATAATTATTTTATAAAGGGTAAAATTAGAAATGAATATCAGAATCCGCCAAAAATTGTCGATTTGATGAATTGAGATAACTTGTTAAAATTACATTACACCATTTTTTGATTGACTTTTAAGTCATCCAAAATCATTTGAAAATGAAAAATGGTCAGTGTACAAGGGGCATTCTCACAAGTGTTTTACAGGGCTACGTGGGCCCCCAAAAATGGTTTGGTTTAAATTTGAGTTTTTTCTCAAATCAGTTTAAACGGTTTGGTTTGAAAATCTGTTAAGAACTAGTAAAATCGAACAGTTTACACCCCTAGTCAAGGATTCTGAAAGTTTTTTAAATACACACACATTCTTTAGTAAAATTCTCAATTTTCTAGTATGAAATTTTTTACTTATAAATAAATTATTAAACATTTTAAATCAAAAAGCGGATGTTTACTTCAGTTATGAGTAATTCTTTATTTATAAGTAAACTTTATAGTTATAAGTTAATTTTGTACTTTTAAATAATTATTTATACATATTTATATTTTTACTTAAAAGTAACTTTTATATTGCATAAGTTAAACTTTTATGTTGTTACTAGTTTTTTACTTTATAATTATTTTTTGAAGCAAAAGTAATTCTTTATCTTATAAGCAATTCTTTTCTTATAAAAATAATTTTTTAGTAAGTTATTTTTATTTACAAGATAATTTTCAGCCTAATATGTGGGATGAAAATAATTATTTTATAGATAGTGAACTTGAAAGAGAATTTGAAAAAAGATCAAAATTCACCAATTTGATAGGTTGAAAAGAATAATTCTATTTGCAATCATTCACTATCGTAGTGGTCCTATATGACATATATGTATATGTTAGTTATTTGATATTTGAGGTCAGAAAAAATTACTATATTAATACATCAAATCACAAGTGTCATATAAGACGACACGTAAGACGATTATCGATTGGAAAATGTAATCAAAATTTCACCACCGACAGTAAAAAAAAGAGAGAATCTGACAATGTATGCGTAGTCATCCCATCAACTCATTTGCGTCCTTTTCTCCAATTACCATTTTCACCCTTATTGAAACATGAATGTAAGAAAAGTTTTTCAATCAGTGTGTTATTGGCAGGTGATACACCGTATACGTCTTTGCGTGTAACAACATATGCTGTCAAAATCGTACAACGTTCAGATTCTTTTGGCTACATTTTTATTCCAAATCACTGTTGCAAAGTATTAGACTTTGATAAATACATAAATGAGTGAAGTATTCTCAACTTTGTTGATAATTATAATATGAGGGTTAGATTCCTGAGATTTGGAATTAAACTCTTTGTGGGCACCGGTGTACGGATAAACTCTTGTTTTTTGGCCTGTTGGGACACATCCCGCGATTTACCTCTCTCACAATTCTCTAGGAGCGTTGGAGGGGGAGGGGGTGAGGACCCTCAAAATTGAGGTTCAACTTTTTTTTTTCTTTTTTTTTTTTCAAGTAGCTTATTTTTATCGTTAACCAACATGGTTCATGTTAAGGATCAAAGATCCAAACTTTCAAAATCAATGCATTTCTTGGTGTTGACATTGTATTAGAATTGAATATGTATTAGAATTTGAGAAAGAAGCAATTTACGTGTATTTTAAGGATTGATTTCATAGGTTTGTAATCCAAAACTATCACTTATTTATAATTTTCCACTCACAATCCACGAATTACCGTCAACTTTTGTGAATTTCATGAAAAACCACCGAGCGAACAAGATTATAAACTAATCTAACGGCTAGTTTTTATAACCATGCTTATGCATGGTTCAAGGCAAAATGGCTTCAATTTTTGCAGAAGCAGGCCATACTCGTACACGGGGTTAAAAATGCCCACTCGTCAATTTCTTCCCATTTTGATCTCACGTCGGTTTGTCTTCTTTCAATGGTAATTATTTGTTCCATTCCCCCTTTCAACATAATTGTCGAACAAAATATAACAGAAGCTAGTATGAAGTGTACTCGACCCTTCTGTTTCAGGTTTGGCTACATGGAAGGATGAAATCCTCCTCATTCTAGATAATTTCTTGAAGTGTCAACTCTGAAATTCAAACATTTTGACAGACAAAACACCAACTATTGAGACCATTGCTTAGTGCAACTGCAGGATGCAACCACCATTGCGTCCATCTTTCTTATTGATATTTCACCGAATGAATACCAAATTTTTGACAGGAAAATTCTCAGTATTAACTTTTCTTTGATTCGATATGTCCAACAATAGAAAAACTAGCAGTTGTAATATAAAATCACTGCTTCAAACGGTAAAAAATGAGATTAGACAAAAAAGAATGCCAAACACTGGAATGCGTTATAATTAAGACAGCATCAAAATAGTTTATAGGTGAATAAACTCTCACCAGTCTTCAGTCTGCGATGTAAATAATAATACAGGATGAAAATAAGAAAGAAGAAACTACTATCCACTTGCAATCCTTCAAGAACTTGAAAGGCATGAGCAATAGTGGAAATACTGAAACTTAAAACCAATCCATCCTAAATTGGTTGAATTCATAAGCTTTTACTAGACGGTGACTTCAATGAGATTAATGCACGTACCGCATCAATGTAATGAAAGTGAAGGAACCACGACAATGATGGACTGACCTGAATAATGTTTCCCCAGCAGAGTTATGTAAAACTTTTTCTTTAACACAGGCAATATAAAGAACAAACTGAGTCGAGCTACGATGGTGAAAACTAACAAGTTGAGTTATAAAGTTCAATCTGCAAGTACTTTTTGGCACAAGAAGCCCTCACAAACTTAAGAATTAAGATCATCCATATTTCCACCCACTGCAATTGTTCTCAAATTCGAGTGCTCCCACTTCCTAGTGTGAGCTCAAGATCATCGAATCCCACCTCATGAATCCTCTCCCCTTCCCAAGCCTTCACTGCTACATTATCAAACCCAAATTCTTTACCCTTCCCTTTGTCCAACATGGCATCCTTGGAAGGAAGGTGTTGAGCCACGTGTTTCACAAGATTAAAGGTCGGAGAGGTTGGAACCATGTTGGGTGCATTTGGATATGCTTGGAAGTTCATCCAGTGACCAGAATCAATAGTAGATGAATCCGACTCGTCACATTCGGGGATAGTGGTAGTTGGAATAAAGTGTCGAACACGAGTTGGACTTGCCGGGGCAGATGCAGCAGCAGAAAAGGGGATATTCAAGACAGACATGGATTCTTTAGCGAGAGTTTCCAAACTGAATGTTTCCTTAGGGCGTCTAGTTGGAGATGAGAGCGGTGGAGTTACCGGGGCACTGTTTGATATGCGAAGAGGAGGAAGAGACGAAGGGATATTGTTAAAGAGGAATACAAATGGATGTGATGATGGATTGGCACTTTGTCGAGTCGGGCTAGGGAAGGACGAGGATGATGGACTCGGTTGGTAAGAAGGTATTGGACTTGCGAAATAAGATGATGGTGGACTTGGATTTACAGAAGAAATAGGTGTCACGTTGGTTGAAATGCTTCCAACATCCCGGCGTGGTGGTTTGCATCCCTGGATGATACATTCAATATTAAAAGCAGAATGTTAGAAACTATTAACAGAAATTGAGACAAAAAAAATGAATCAACCAAGGGAAATTTGTACAACTTTTCTAAGAATCAAAGAAGAAAATGATCATATTCATAAGGTTATCAATAGCTGTAAAAGAGAGACTGTCTACTAATTACATATCAGGATTCATTAAATTTAAATACTTTGAATTGACATTGAAATATATAAAGAAATGCTGCAGTCATGCTCAATACATGCTGATAGGAAAGAGATGAAATACTTTACCTACAAACTCTTAACAAATAGTCTTAATTCTAAACTCCAAAATCTGAATCGCCAAAAGTAAACGAATTAAAAGGAGAGAACACTCAAGCTAAGAAATTATTAGCTGCAGAAAAGAATTAATACTTCAATGCTCAAAAAATCAGCTTCCCAAGTATTCTTTCTTCTCTCAACATTATATACACAAAGATACATTTGGTAACACAGTACTGCACGACAAGTAGACAATGCGGCATAGCATACCAAACATGTCATAAATCTTTTGCCAATTTTTAAGTAATGGGAAATCTACCTACCAGTTTATGGAAGCTATGAATATAGCCTTTCCAAATGCTTTAACCACAATTAGCACTACAGGTTAAACATAGGGGTAAAGAAGAAAAATCCCATGAAGAAAACCTTTCAATTAAACCCATTTTTTCCACATATAAAAAGTAAAGAAAAATAAAAATTATTTCAAAGCAAAAAACAGCAATCTTGATTCAAATAAAGCAACCCCTAATTTCGAGATCTAAGTGGATCCAAGCAAAACCCACTAACAAAGAGCAAGAAAAAATCAAACTCAGAAAAAAAAATAAAAAATAAAAAATAAAAAATCCTTACCAGATAACATAGATGAATTACTACAGAGAGAAAATTTAAAATAAAAAAGAAAAAATTACCTTGCGATGAGTGGTACCATCAGGCTCAACAATCCAACCAGCTTCAGTACAGAGAGCTTTGAGGACCTCATTGTTGTCACAGTGTTTAGGCAAATTGTAATCCCCTTGTGCCCTTAAACCTGTATAAATCTTGGCTGCTATGGCCCTTCTTCTTCTCTCTCTTCTCCTGTTGTTCTCTCTCTCTCTCCAAGAAGGCTTCCTCCTCCCACTTCCACCATTTCCATTAGCACCTCCTTCGGTTGATTCTCCAGCTTCCCACATCATTTCCCCCCTCTCTCTATCCCTCAGTGTGTCAATGGGGTGGGGGTATATTTGGTTGCAGGGTTTCTGAAGAGAAACACACTGATTCCCTCTGATCTATCAAGTGTGGAAGAATCTGTGCGTTTTCCGTGTGTGCTTACCTTTATGAATGCATATATGATACACAAATTCTTGTAGGGGAAGTTAAAAGTGTAATGCAGTACACAGAAACATCTGTTGTGAGTGAACTTGATAATTGATACAGAGTTGACGGGACCCACATCTGTGAATGATGGGAGAGATTACGAGTAAGACGCTACTGTTCGAAATTTAGATAATTTGTACGAAACGGCTTTACTGTCTTCACTATATGAATCGTTCTTATCATTTCACTATCGATATTAGGATCCTCAAATCGATCATTCTTTACACAAAAGGTCCAAGATGAAAACCGCGCGAAAGGGGGTTGGAGGGGGTGATTTTGGAGAAGAAATTGATCCAAGAAAGATAAACTTTTGTTTAAAAATATTTTTTCTTTCTTTTTTCTATGTTTTACATTAATCAACTTGACTCACATTCAATAAAAATTGACATCAATGGACTATTATTTTTTGGATTATGCTATACAAACATAATGGTTGACATATGGGATGATCGAACACTCACACCTCGACAGTTGGACATTATTTTATTCACGCGAGGTCCACGCTCCATGTGAGGTTTGGTCACCCATTTTCGAGCACTTCGACATTATTCTTTTTTTTTTTCTATTTAAATATTGTCGTCTAGTAGCTCAGCAATTAAGACGAACAAGACCAAAATGTAAGGAAGTGATTTACAAGTGAGAAGGGGGACAGAATGCATAGGGAGAAGAGACACAATATGATAGTGATTAGCCTTGTTATCATAATGTTTCTACCAAAAAAAAAATTGTATATCGTTTCTTTGTTGGTTAAAAATTGAAATTTTAATTTATTTTTATTGAATATAATGAGGGGATTATTATTATTATTATTATTATTATTATTATTATTTTTTAATTCTTATCTGTATGCTGTAATGAAACTGATAGACAAAGAATTCAAGGGACAGTTCAAATCTTACTCATCTTCTTACAAATATATATTTTCCACTCTTGTAATGGGTCCCAAGTTGTCTCCTAGGATTTTCAACTAGTCAACCAACCAATTGAATATTGCCACGTCTACAATTGGCCCACTTCCTCTTATTTTGACAACGATAATATTATAGTCTTATCTTATAGACCTAAAAATAATGGCGAGTCCTTGTTCTTGTCCTAGTACGTTACTTGTGACAAGAATCAACACGCATCAAGTCACAACAAAGCTAATCAAGTTGCAGAAAAGGGCAGCACTAATCTCATTTTGAAAGGGTAATAAATATTTTGAAATCAATCTTATCGAGTTCAATTCTTGCCAAATACAATTTTGATAATCTAAACAAAGTGATAATAAATGGCATTACTTTCTGATTATAGATAAACCATTTGATGAACCATCTAATAAGCTTGAAGAGGGAAAAAAATTTGTTAGCCGAAGTTAAATAAGTTATCTATTTTGAAAGTAACTTTAACTTTGTTGTCAAAATTAGAGTTTGACAAAACTCCAAAACTAAACCAATCGAACCGGGCCCAAATTGAACCAAATCGAGTGACTCTTCTTAAATTAAATATTCAAATAGGTATCTGAATCGAAAACTGACGAGTTCGATTTGATTCTCGATTCTAAATAAAAAAGTATTTAAAAGCTGAATCTCCCTAATTTTTTAGCCTACTTATTTTAAATAAGTCAGATTATTTTATTTTCTTCTAAATAAATTTACTAACTAACTAACTTAATTTAAACCCTAAAATACGATTTTCCTATTTCTAATTTTTAGTGTAAACCCAACTTAATCAAATTGCATTCCATCATAATATCGTTTCTAACATTCTAAAAAAAATTGAATTGAAACTCAATAGCACCTCTCTTAAATATTGTGAGCTCGTCATCTTCTTTCTGTTATAATTTTAACAATCAAATTTATAAATAAGTCAGCAAAGATAGAAGCAACAGACACAAGGATAAACTACATGTAAGAGCTAAAATTAAACATGTCATTAGTTAAATTAATATAACTTCGTAGATATTAAAAATTTTAATTATAATACAGATCCCAAATATCGAACCAAACCAAATGTAATTAAACTCGAACTTTTCTATAATTAAATTTGGACCTGCCGATTCCATTTACTAAATACCCGAAAATTTCGGATCCAATTCGGTTCTCGTTAGAACCGAACCTAATCGGACCACATCCAGCCCTAGTCAAAATAAGTAATTTTAACTTATAAGTAAAAAAGCAACATAAGAACACAGACTAGAAAATGCAATGATGTATCGACATCGGTCTTTTGCAACATATCTCTTCAAACCAGAGTTTCAATCTCACAAAGTAAATTAACAAAAAGTAAAGCACAGTTACACTAGCATACAAACAGCTTTGTGCACGCCTCAGTTACATGAATTCTGGTGGGATTCGTAACTGCATCGAAATAAGACCAAAGATAGATGGGGATCCAAATTTACAAATCTCTCAACTTAAAGCATCTACAATGTCGACTGAGTTGAGAAACTGACTGACACTGTCTCCAAACGCTATATGCAGCGATTGAAGAAACTCTGTCCCACATAGCCACCAGCCATCGCCCTTCGCACATTGGATTCAAACATCTTTGGGTTATCCCTCAACACTGCAGCTGCATCAGGATTGAGAGGGTCCTCATGATTTGGTTCCTGCACAAATACAAGTCCCCCTGTTAGAGAGTTGAGTTAAACTACTTGTATACACATACTGTACACCTTGATTGACACCCCCCGTGTGACAAAAATCTGGCTGTTCATTGAAAAATTTGGTGTCAAGATCAATGTACCAAAATCTGCCAACTCACATAGGTGTAAATCATTGTGTCAACATTTATGTAAATATAGCATGGTCAGAGAGAGTATATGGTAAGGCTAACAAACTCAAGTTTTTGTCCCAACAGAAGATATGGAGATACCGTGAAAAGATGATATAAGCCATATATGATAGTGTTAATGTTTAGCACAGGTTTCCAGTCTTCTCGAAGAATGTTCAGGCAAACATTTCCTTCCAAGTCAATATTGGGATGGTAAACCTGCAGTGAACATGTTTATTTAACAACTGCCTTCCCATTTCAGGATATTAGAGTTTCACAGCGTTAGTAATACAACAATTATGATGCATGGAAATCTTGGCTTTCGTCTACCTTTGTCTTGCATTTGACCTTGGGAGCTTCATGAGGATACATAGTAGAAATTTGGAAAGAGAAAATAAATGCGCCACCTCTGAACACGGGCAACCAAATTCAGTGAATATGTAGGAAAGTACCAAAAATACAATAGGCAAGCAATAATAGTATAACCATGGATAGAGGAGCACAATTCAAACGCATCTAATGAAAATAAATCATTGTCTGATTTATATCACATTTTACTTGGGAAGAGATACTTACAGGTAATATCCTTCATCAGGCCGAATGGTAACTTCAAAGTTCATAAGATCATCTTTTCCATTAGGGAATGAAATGGTACAAGTCTTTGGTAGATTTAATTCACTTATATCTACAAGAGACAAATATAGAATAAAAAAAAATAATCAACAATATTTCTCTACTCCTGGTAACATGAAGACCAACATAAAATAAGAAAGGAACAAAAAGACAAGGTGAAAAATAGAAGATACTAACAAAATGAAGCACGTTTAAGGGCCAATATTAAAATTGGTATACTACATTTGATCGTTTCAGATAACTTTGAAGATCGGACCACTTACTGAATCTAGAATCGTAGATCTTTTCAAGAAACATAAATGTATACCCTCTATTGTAGTTATAAAGCTACTTGTAAGATTATTCACATTTATAACTTTAAGAAGTATCTTTCTCCATGTGCATTTCCAGGGCGAAATATAAACAGAAATTATTAAGGGCTGAAACACAAACTTGCAGAAAAATCCTTCATTCTGGGAGATTAAATTTCATTCTTAAACTTGGAAGATTTGTTTACATTAACATCTTACTGTTTACATATGTAATACCACTCATGTATATATGGTAGACCACACATTGTGAAATAATATATAAGGTAGAATTTTTTTTTCCCTCTAACTCGTGTTTGTACATATAAAACTATTTTACATTCGGCAGAGCATTAGCAAAGCTAGGACATATGGAAACAATAGCAAAATGAAAACATAGAAACAAAGAGGACATTCAACAATAAGTTTATAGAACAGTTAAGCAAATCTGTAACCCTAGCTGCCTATTCTCTAGCAGATCGTTCTAGACCAGTTGATTCAATTGTGTTTCAAAGTTCATTACATAATGCAGACCGTGACATGCCATGTGCAGATGTTAAGTGTCCAACATGTCATATTGTGAGTACATAGTTAAAATTATGAAGAATTTATGTATTTGCAATTGAATACAAAGGGATGTTTAAAATGCGTTGTTTTCTACAGATGTCTGACATCACCCTACGAGAAAGTACGCTTTCAGTTCATTTCGATTTTGTGCCCAAACGAGAAACAAAATATGCATAATCTATCAGCAATAAATGAAGCATCAACTGGAGTTTGTTGTGAGATAAACTTTAGTGACAAATAGAAAGAATGACATGAAAAGAAAGTACTTTAGCGTGGCACATGTGCAGGGCAATGATTCGTCTGATATCAATCATTTTGAGTTTTTGCGTTTGCATTTCCTTTTCGTGCTTTTTTAGGAAGGGAAACATGATATTCCTAGAATTAAACTAAATAGATGAAGGTTTCCACTCAGAAGCCAACTTTCATGCTTATATAGGGAGGGGAAATGATAGTTTTAGAATAACAATAAAATAGATGAGATTTCTACTCATAAGCCCACTTAACCCTTGTTTGATCCCCTATTATTTTCAAAATACATTTTTCTCTCTTCTTTTCAACCATACATTCTTCTATAAAATAATAATACACATAAACTCAAACCTTTTCCTTAATTTTTAACCACACATTCTCCATCAATCTAGAATTCCAAAACAAATTCTTCAATAAAAATAGGGCTCAAACGTGCTCTTATCATGGTTTAACTATAATTGATATCCATCATGATGTTATCATCAACCTATTCTTTCTCCTTCCCCCTCTATTGGATGGACTTTTATACCAAGTATAACCCATTCTTTTATTCAGCATCATCAGTCAAGACATCGAACTCTTAAAAACAACACAAAACTTCAAACATCCATATATACAATAAAAACAAATGCAAACGTAAATAATGAGATGTATATCCACATCAACAACATGGAAAAGAATAAGAGAAGCCTAACCATTTTTCATAACATGAAACCAAAAATACCTTTGTGAAGGCGTAGTTCTCCGGCACTTTGCTTCTTGACTGGAGGCTTCCCATTGGCATTTTCAGCAAGTTCCCTCTGTTTTTCCTTTACTTTAAACAATTTAATCATGATTCCTACAAGAATAAAAATTATAATGATTATAATAATCAACTAAATAAAGTACTGAAGATGAAGGAATGAGAGGTTAAATATGGTTCTTAATATATGTACACAACTACACATACAGAGAGAAGCAGTGGGGTTAATAGTTAACAAATTACTTAGCAGCTTTTCTGAGCCAGAACTAAATTACATTCAACAATCTATCAGTAATGATCATTTCTATTTTTCAGTATCCTTCAGAATGGCATGGTAAAAATCGTTATGTTGACATTGTAGACATTAATTATTCCTACTGCCAGTAAGATAGTTCATCCAAGGCCCAAGCAAGAAGAAAAATGGCATGACCTATCATGAAGTAAGTGCATGACGCAGGATACGATACGAGAATTATAGGAAAAGTGGAAAGAAGAAGAGAAAAGAAGGGAAAAGAGAGAAGAGGGAAGAGGAAGAGAGAAATTGGGGCAGAAGTTCAATTTATTTCATAATCAAAGGTTGTTTCATTACATCGCCATAACTCCCTTCATAAAGGGTTTTCAAAAATCATAACTAAGTAAAGAAATGTTAAAAAAAGAAAAAAGAAAAAGTTATTAAATCACACTCTAATCATGTTTCCTAAAATAGAATCAAAATAGAAAACTAAATAAATAATTATCTCCTATAATATTGCATCATTTCTTCCCGGCTAAGAGAACTCGACTCCGACGAGATAGATTGGAACTTCATACTCCAAGGAGATTTATCTTTTATCTTGATCAATTGCCTATATTGAATCTTGAACCACATCCTAAGGTTGAATTCAGGTCAAGGGGGACGATTTTTCTTGTGAATCAAATATCCGAACTCATAACTTGAGAACAACTGAAGCTACAAATCCTCACAACAACTATGATATGACCAAGGGTCGACTTGGCTTCTGAACAAATAGCAACATGGAACTCCAAAAAGCAAAAAGCTATGCAACTCATCTACAAAATTGTCAATTGATTGTGCAGAATGAGAAGCACAAAGATCTACCAAAGTAAACTAGACCACAAAAACAAATGAGTGCAACAATGGTGGCTCGAATGCCTCAATAAGGAAACAATTATACCATATGGAAAACAAAACCCTCGTTGAAGTGCGATGGCCAATCAAATAGATTAAGATCAAGTGGGAAATTCAAACTTTTCTTTGCACGTGTGGGAAAAGTATCTAAACAGACAAAGACATTGAACATGGTAACTCGAAAAGCATCACAAAGTAGAAGTAAAATCGTATCAAAGTCAGTGTTAGAACTATACTACATATTAGGCGAGATCAACTTTAGCATGTAATTGAGGATATGTGGACTGTTTGACTAGGTGGCAACAATATAGATAATTCCTCATCTTCAACGTCTGAATATTCAATTAACTCAACAACAGAAACCTCGATTTCTTTTTCAAGAGCAACACAACTAGACTCAAAAAGTAACGGTCAGGACTTGGGTGACAGACCTAGCTTGACACATTCGGCGAAGAAAAAAAAAGTTCCATAGGTTTGCCTGTTGGTAAGCATCGTCTAAGTATTGGAATGCAGGAATATCATTAAGCAAAATTTCATAATTCAAATCATCGATAAATCTGGACACTATGCAGTGGGGAGCTTCATCGATATAATAATTGTTCAATAACTCTTCAAAGTGGGCCAAATATGCACTAACAATGGACGTACCTTGCCCACAGTGCAAAAAGAATGGATTTAACAATTAAGTTCGATAATAAATAAAGGCATATTTATTACTTAAAATTTTTTTCATCTCACCCCTAAAGGTGATAGTGCATTAACCTAGACGATTACACAAATATAATCACCAATAAATCTTAGCATAACCAACCAATGATATATTAGTGTGTCACTGAAATTGCGATAGACAAAGAGTTATTCAAGATTGTTAAGTCAATCAAGAAATGAAATGGGTTCAGTGTGACCATCAAAGCCCCACAACTGGAATGCAACTTGCCTAGGAGAAGTATATTCGTCCTCAACAAAGTTCCTAAACGGAGGATAAGTATGTTGATAAGTGCAAGGGAAAGCTACATGATTTTGGTAGTGATCTAAGGATGTGCATGTGGTATTGTATAACATTTTTATTTAACAGGCCACAATCACCTAAATAGAAAGTTGAGTTATCAAATAACAAAACTGTATTACCTCACAAACTCCACTTGAGCTGTTGGTTGTCTACAATAGAGTTAAGATCTAATTGAGTCCAAATTCAGTTCAACTAAGTATCAAGTGCAAGATAATCTTCGTGGCCCGAAAATCAAGTTCAATTCCTGCTAATCCTTTTGCAGAAATAGGCCAGGCTTCTAAAATGTCTACTTGGGACTTTAGCTTATGGAACATGGATGCTAAGTTCGACCTATGGGTACTTAGGTACTGTGGAGAAAGAGACCGAAAAGTGCAGGTTGCCAATGCATTCTAGGATTAAGCAAGAGCTGGGTTGTGTGGTGGAGGCATTACTGACGGAGCAGAAAGCCGGTTGTTGGGTAAGGTGATGGATGTTATGAGGTATAAGTGCAGCATATGACTTGGTCGAGGTGAAGAATCAGGTTGTCGGTGCTATGTATATGGTGTTTATGATTGCTGTAGGTGGTCGAGGAGGATGACGTTGTAAGAGGTATGTGGTAGAGGTAGATATGGTCGTGATAAGGGCGACCATCGACGGTGAATATGTCGCATGGCCGAGCAACATATTTGATGATGGTGAGAGGGGGAATTACGACAGTAATTGAAGGTAAGGTAGAATTGTAGGCGACGATGGGGCAAAGTAATATGTTTGTTGATCGAGGGACGGTAGCAATGAAATAAATAGCCGCAGGCGATCAGCGTCGATCGAAACAAGGGCAACCAACAATAGCGACTGTAGAGGAATCAACCTGGTTGAAGACAAGTGGGTGGGTTGCAGTGGTTAGGGCTAGTAATAGGCTAGGTGTGTTGGGCTTGTTATATGTGGACTTTGGTATATTATTGGTTAGTATAGGGTAGAGTAGATTTAGAGACTAGATTATACATTCGATTTTTGATGTATTAGCGTGGGTTGTATGAAGTTGTGTTAAATGGACCGATATATGTATGTTTTATGGATCTGGGCTGGAGTATATTTGTTTGGGTTGGGTTGCATAATTGTTGGTCCTGTTTATGATTGCCCAAGCAAGCTGCTGAGTGGGTTGGAGGAGAAGATATAAAAATTTGGGTTATGGTGTTAGCGGGCTGGATGGTTGGGGCATAGGGTTTGGAGCAATAGCAAACAATGTTTCTACAAATATGGTATTGAAAAACAGCAGCAGTACTGTAATAGATTTGTGGGCTTGGAATGTGGATTGGCGGGTTATTGGCGGGGAATTGAGGGTATGAACAGCAGCAAAAAAATAACTCTTTCAGCAGCGCAAAAATGACAATTTTTTGTACTCTTTTGTTTGAAGCTAATGAAAAATCAAAAACTGAATTTTCAATTTTTTGTAGTGAACAGTATCATGAACAGTAACTTTTTTTTTATGGGGTGAAAATTTATGGTAGTATGTTGTGGTGGATGAAGTTTAAATGGTTTGTATGGGTGAAGGTGGATACAACTAGTTTTTTGTGGAGATTGGATTTGTTGGTCAAAGGAAATGATTTGAGCTCTGATACCAAATTGACGCAAGATACAATAACAGAATTATAGGAAAAGGGGAAAGGGGAGAAAGGAGAGGGGAAAGAGGGAAGAGGATGAGAGAAATTGGGGGAAAATTCAATTTATTTCATAATCAAAGGTGTTTTATTACATCACCTTAACTCCCTTTGTTTTCAAAAATCATAACTAAGTAAATAAATGCTAAAAAAGTTATTAAATCACATTCTAATCATGTTTCCTAAATATGAATCAAAATAGGAAACTAAATAAATAATTATCTCCTATAATATTGCAACTACTGGAAAACAATTCGAAGTTCATTTATCAAACAGCTAATCGCTGCAGATATTTCTAGCATTTGGTTACTTTATAAACAATGATTTCGGTCTTGAAATTGAAGTTCATCTATTCATCCAATAGCTTTCAAATTCGGTAGTCCGAACACTTCACTAACCTCTCTAGGTTAATTTTAGATAGTGAACTCAGGTTGTATCCCTGAAGATAACATTAGAAGCTTTAAATAAATGATCAATAATGAATAACTCCGAATGTAGAAATAATTTGACCATTTTAAAAACGCCGCACAACTTAGCTAGTCCTGCACAATTTAGCTAGTCCTAAAATGGGAAAAACCTCAAAAAGATATTACCAAAAGGGAAAAACTAGTTGTTTAAAGCAAAGACAACACAAATATGTACGGCTACGATGCACCGACATTGTCCAACAGACACATGTCAAATACACTGATACTCAATTTTTCAAAAAAGTAATGACCTAACAAATCGCCAATACGTTGATTAAATAATTTAAAATTATTCACTTATATAGTATAAATTTAATTTTATGCTTATTATTAATTATTCTTATTGAAATCTTTTAAATATGAGTACCTATTTGTTATTTTCTAATTACTTTGAGTTATAAATATACAATATTTCTAATAAAAAATGATCAGGGAAGAGTGTTCGAGTGTCATTATCCGACACATGTTCGAGATGCTTCGAATACGAACAAGTCACTTTAGTTGAAGTGTCCGTGCTACAAATATGTACAGTCACAAATCCCAATTAGAATTATGCAAGGACGAATGCAGTGGGGCCCATACAAAAACCTAAGAAGAAAATGTATAATTTTGACTAAAAATTCAAAATTTTATATTAGCTCAACTGTAGTTTGAATATCAATCCAAGTCCAATGCTCAATTATTCAAATTGTATTAAAGGCACTATAACTATTAAATACTATTTTCATGACATTCATGAAATGTGAATATATTATTGTCAAATTAGATATTTTATTTATTCCATGTTTGACTAAATTTACTTAAAATTATGAAGTAAATTTTATTATAGACAATCTACATTGAGCAGAGCTAAAAGTAAATTACTTATTTTAATAGTTAGAGACACTACAATGTTTTGCTAAGTTTAAAAGTAATTAAATTTTTTGTTTCTACACATGTTTTCGTTTATTACTTATTCATACTTGTAAAAAAAATTACTTATTTTGACCATAAAATAGATATTACGGTCAAAATAAATAACTTGCTCTAGATTTGATATTGACAATAAAAAGAATATTTGTTAAAACTTATTAATTTATAAATTAATCTATATAAGTATATTGTTGAAATTGAGCCAAACATGGACGTTAATTAAATCTAATTTCTTTTACTCTCGAAATTCTTAGTCGATTTTCTCACTGTGGGTGAGATTCCTCGCTCACTTTGAAATGTGAGGATATAGAAGATCGATGAACACCCCAAATAGTTTGATTTTAAGGTAAACATCAATTTTCTATTTGGTAAGAAAAAATACAAAGATCTAGTAGGACATCTTAAGGAGAGACATCTAGACTTTTTTTTATTTCATTGAGTGTCGTATACTTTTTAGTATAAATGTCATGAGAATAGCCTCTTAAACTCGATCTCTTTTGGCATGAGTTCATTCAAAAAATTTTAAATTTCAACCTATCCTAACATCATTTTCTAGCTTTGTCCATGAAATTATGCATACAAAAAAAATTCTATAAAAAAATCCTATGCTCCAGACATATCTTGCATGAATGCAAAATCGGAACTTAGAAAAATCGAATGAAAGAACGTAACAAAATTTTATCTCCCAAGCTTGTTTAATTTTCTCGTTTATTGTCTCAAAATGTAGTCCTTTCACGGTCATGTTTAAATAGTGGTGTTAGCTTGTATTATCTCTAATTCAACATTTAATCACAATTATGACCTCTAACAGAAATTAATATTTTTCTAAGTCAGACTTGACAAATGATGTACCTCAAATTTTTCGTTAATTCCGAACCATTCGAAAACAGCTCCAATACAATGAGGGAGACGGTTGACGTCTAAAGGGAAGGGTTAGGGTTTGAATGCAAGAATATAAGGAATTGAATAATATAAGGATATTTTTGGAGCTCGATAAATTTTAGAGAGAATATAAACTATGAATGCTAGTCAAACAAGTGAGTTGTGAAAGAAAACTATAGAAGAAAGAAAGCAACTACTATGCTTCTCTAGAGTTTAACACCTTGTCTTTTTTTCTGTTAATTTAGGCTTCAGAAACATGTATCTAGACTTGTATCTGATTTTTGGTATAGCTTTTGTCATCCTCTATTACAATCATCACAAATATTTGTTTCGTAGTTGTTATTTACACAAGGCCGAGTCCTTCAACAATATATTATTCAAATTCGTGTATAAAAAAGTAATGTGAGTGGGTATATATAGACAAGATGGGGCAATATATTGAAACTCACTATGAGCAATACAAAGAAAATGATTGGCATATACACTTTTGGTAAGGTGACTTTAATCATATTTTTTCCACAGTTATTGCACAAGCTCTCCTTGACAAATTAATCTTGTTGTACATCTAACATCCATCATGATTCTCAATGAATATTAACAATCAACGCCTGCCCCACACCATTCCATCTCCAAAGTTCAAGCAGAAACGTACAAAATATAAAAAATATAATCAGGGCTCCTAGCAGCTCAACAGTTTAGAGCAAGCAATTGTCATCTGTTGAGTTCAAGATGGCAGGTAGTCTTGCCATAGTGGAATGAGGGTTCAAGTCTCGCACAATAAAAATCTGCACCTCCACCCCACCTATGACAAGATTTGCATTGCCCAACCACCCCAAACCCTTAAAAAGAGGTCATCGGACCTACTCCACCTGGGACTGAGGTCAGGGCCCCACACCACCCCTGCCCCCAAAACATAACAGAAGAACTCATAGAAGAGGAATTTCAAACGGCCAAAAAATTTTGAGCAAGCAATGGACCTTCATCAAATTCTAAGTGGTAGGATTCAAGCAACTTATAATGCCAGGATATACATAATATGTAAAGAATGAGCTACCCAAATAGGTCTATAATAACCTCCGCTACCGACATCCAAAACTCTTAACTATTTCCTAATTATACCCCAACAATAATGCAAAATTGTTCTACCAGCTTTAAAGTTAAAACATTAAATCTACAAGTAACCCTACGCAGGCCACAGGGTGGAAATTGAACTAGCTGAAAATACGATCAAAAGCATATAGGAATACCGACAATCAATAAGCACAGGTACACTAAAATAAAAAAATAAAAAAACCCAGAAATGATTTATCATAAATCAACTGAAACGACTCCTCAACATTTTCCACAGAACATTAGAAACAGGAAAACGTCAAAAACTTTGGAAAGTTTAATCGGGGTATGACGATTAATAAAAGATCTGTTGAAGAATCAACATAGAATATATTCAAAACGCTAAATCTACGCCTCTATACATAAATTAAAACCTGTAAAAAAGAAATAATCTATAGAGAATATTAACCTGATTGGTGAAATACCTGCAAGAAAAGCCGGAATCGGGATTGGCCTTCGGGAATTCAGAGGGCTTCTCTATTCTCGAAGTGATAAGAGAGAGGGGAGAATCTAAGAAATGAGTGCTCAAAGCGACTCTACTTTTTGGAAAACCTTTATTCGGTGCGGCTAGACTTTCTAGCCCGTTTGATGAACTCCATTATAATTAAATTTTTGGGGAAAATGAAGGTGTTTGGGGGAGATTTTTATGTAAAATGTATTTTTGAATAGTAAATTGATGGAAAATGTGTGGTTAAAAAATAAGAAATTTTTTTATTTACGTGTAATATTATTTTAATAAAAAATATATAGTTGAAAAGAAGAGAAAAAAAAATGGGTACCAAACAGGGCTTTTGAACAATGTATGGTCAAAAGAGAAAAAAAATAACTTTAAATGTAATATTATTTTATTAAATAATATGTGATTGAGAAAAAAAAAGAAAAATATATTATCAAATTAATGGAATCCAAACAAGGAAATAATAAAATAAATAAATTCATCTCACCCAGTCAAAAAATAAAAAAATCAATGACTCAATATTCAAACAGGTAAGAGGAGAAATTGCTATTTTTAAAAAAAGATACTCAAATTTGTGTCTTTTTTAGTTCTCGAATTTGCTTATTTATAGGTTTCTGTTGAGTTATTGGAGGTAATTATGTCATTTTTGTTAATGAGACATGACAATCATTAATTTGTTGAATCCTAACTAAGGGAGTGTTTGGCACCATTTTTTGCTCATTATTAGAAGAAATATAAACGTTGCAAAATGAAAGTTGCAAAATAAAAGTCAAAAAAAGGCGAGACGTGCTGGACGTCCAGGCGCCTATTTGGCGCCCCCCCTATTGGGGGGTAGCCTGTCACTGTCAGACGACCCCCCAATAAGGGGGCGCCAAATAGGCACCTAAACGTCCAGTTTTATTCAAAAAAGGCTAAGTGGGGCCCATAAACAGTAACATTTCTTCTACAAATGGCAGTTATCTTTTCACATTTTATTCACCAATATAGTCCTCGTACTTTTGATGAAGTGATTTGGGTCACATTCAATGTTCAAGGTCGCTTACAAGGTTTCGCACTATTAATGCTTAGTTCTAACCCTGTTCTGAGTTCACATATATTTCAACTCTTAGAATGCTCGTTCAAACACATAAGCGCGTTTATGATCCTTTATGAATATTTATCGATAATAAAATAGTTATCAACGTTCGAGTCTATTTTGTTTATATTAGGTTTAGGGCTTAGTTCAGGTTTTCTATTAAGCAAGCCCAAAGGTGGATTTATCTTAATTTTGTTAATATAAGCTTTTACAATTCATAGTAATAGTCGAATCCAAAATTTTACTCGAATTTAGTGTGCTGAATTTTTACAAAAAACAAGTTTGAATATTCAATCAATAATAGTCCCCAGACTTCAAACATAATTATTTATGTTAAGTGACGAACTTGTGGACTTGAGGCAACTTTCTATGCATTAATGATAGATGAAACGTCTTCTTCATAATATCTTTTCCGATATGCATGCATTTGAATGTGCGTGGGGCATATGCCTAATTTGGAACATTTGCGTGAATGTGCCCTTTTGGATTCAATTGTAAAGATTACTTCCTTTTTGGATGATTACTATTGAATCAGTTCGGATTCAACGAACAATATCTATTTTTAAAACTTATATGTATCGATCTACTGTCATTGTTTTTTGTTTCTTCTTTAAACGCAAAAGATGTTTTGCATTTATCTCCTAAATTTTTTAGGATTATCGGTCTCTTGGAAAAACTATTCCACAAGAATAGTACTGTTAGTGTTAGGGTCATACTTAGGGATCGTGATGTCTTTGTCAACGCCATTGTGTTTTCTTAGTAAGTCTTTGGTAGTCACTTAGTCTGGGAGATATGCGATTCAGCAAGCTTTCAAGATTGGGATGATTTCCCTTTGCAACATCATAAGCAAATAACTAGGATTTTAAAATAGATAAATTTGCCATGTTTTTGCATTTTACACGTGCATCTAGGAGAATAGGCATTACTTCCACTTGGCTACTGCATCAGACAGACGCCTTCTATTTCACTAAACTTGATTCTACCAAGCATTTTTAGTTTGTCCCTATTTATCTTTGGGAAGCTTGCAATTATGTGAACTCAGGAGTCTAAAGAAATGAGACGTTATGCGAACTTTAGGTGTTGTGTTTTTATAGCAATTTGCTAGGTTAATCAATTTGGAATGTTATCCTTTTGGCTGACTTAATGAAGTCAAGCTTGTACTCATCTATTTATCTATTGCTCAAATGAATATTGTATTTTGCTTAAGTTGGTAAGCTCGCCTGAAAGAAACACTTCACGATATCAATATAAATCTGAAACATTTGTTTTCAGACGCTTTGATTTGTTAAACGAAGAGGCATATAACTTTTTAGTACGATAAGCGAACCAAGCTGTTAGAAACAAACAAGTTACCAAAATCACTATGATACCACTTGTTATGGAAACTGGAGGGGGGGGGGGGTTAATGACAAAATATAAAGGATAAGATCACAAGAACAAAAACAAGATTTGAAGTAAAGAAGAAAATATTGGTAGAGGAATCAAGTAATTTTATTGATAACCACTAATAATTTCTGGAATGACTAAATTGAATGAAGAGTTTACTATTTATAGGAGACATCTCAAACCCTAGAAATAATACAAGATATGGAAACTAGGTTAAAAATCACGTAAAACCGGAAAAATAGGCTGCGTTTTCGCTTGAGCTATAGTTGAGCGAGGACCTTATCACTTGAGCAACAACTCGACAACAAGCGAGCGAAAAACTTACTGTCCAAATTTTGCCTCCTTCACTCGAACAACTAGCTAGCGATCGACTAGCAACGTCAAAATAACTTTTCCCTCAATTGAACCATACTTTAACATCTTGAAGCCCAATATACAAACACGAAACCCCAAACCTTAATTTGGGTAACAAACCTAACATAATCTCTACTTAAATCAAGTTGCTTTATTTTATTGAAAATATTTTTTCGAATATTCTCCATTCCAATGGTGCGTGAGAGGTTCATCATTACTGTCCACTAGCTTATATATTCTCAACCTTATCAATTTGACAAAGGTGTATGAACCTTTCCACTTTGGGCCTAACAAACTCGACCATATCTCCTTGTCCGTGACAAAAAATTTCTTTAGCACTAGGTCTCAACCTTATAGGTTTTCATGCGAACCTTGAAATTCAAATGCCTTTTCATTTTTCTTCGATAATATTGCTTTCTTCATATGGGAGGGCTCTCGTTTTTTCTCTAAGAGCTTTAGGCTTGCGTTCATAGCTTCTTCATTCTGTTTTTCATCAAAGTTCAACTTCATTGCCGAACTCAAGCCTAAATCCATCAGAATCATAACCCCGATTCCATAAGCTAAAGAGAAAGGTGTTGTCCTGTGATAGTCCTGGTGGTGGTGTTGCATGACCACAAAATTTATGGTAACTCATCAGCCCATTATCCCTTGCAGAATCAAGCTTTTCTTTTCAGGATGCTTTTCAGAGTTTTATTTACTACTTTCACTTTTTCGTTAGTTTGAGGATAATACGAAGTGAAAAATTGTCTATGAATCATAACTCTCACACATAGATCTGAACTTTTTTCCATTAGAACTGTGCATCATTATCTTAGATAATGGAATTTAGGATTTCGAATCGACATTTACTATTTTCTCAAATAAACTTACAAGTATTGGCCTCGATGATGTGGTAAGAGGTTTTGCTTCAACCTATTTGATAAAGTAATCTACAGCAACAATCATGAATTTCAAGTTATTGCATATTTTCTCCTAGCTGGTCAATAGTATCATTGTTTCAACACCTTTTATGCTTGGGAATCCCCGTTAGCACTATTCTCAAACGTGTCTACATGAATTTTCTTCATTACATATATAGCTTCATCATTGCCTATTCATCATGGTAAAGGGATAGTGTACCATCACTTGAATAAGTTTTTGTCTTGTAATACATATCAGGTTGCTTTTATACGCAATTTTCTTGATTTTTTTTTTTTTTTGGGTGGTCTCTATGGGAATTGCATCTACCTGGTAGGATATAATCTCTTGTATCCACGGGATCTCCCCATGTATTAATAGGCTTTCTTTTTCTTATTAACCGATGGATTTGTTAACAACTCTACCAATACAATTTTCAAAAACTCCATGTCCTTTGTACTTGCTAATTCAGGTAATGCATCAACATACCCATTTTCTTCTCTTGGAATTTATGAGAGTTCAAATTTGTTGAAGTGTTGTGTTTGACTCATGACCTCAGCCAAATATGCAGCCACTAGCGATGAACCGTCTTGTAACCTGATTCAAGTTGTGAAATCAATTTTTACCTCAATTTTCTAGGTGTGCACTTCTTTAACTAACCATTTTCTTCTCTTGAGATTTATGAGAGTTCAAATTTGTTGAAGTGTTGTGTCAGACTCATGACCTCGATCCTTAATAATATATTAAGAAAAAAGAATTAATTTAGTTATTGGACATGTCCAACATTAAACATTGACCTCTTTAACGATGAAACACATATATTACACGTAACCTTTTAGCGGTCAAATAGATAGAAAAGGTTATTCACTTCGAATCATGGAGCTAAGAATTTGAAAGGAAGTTCCTAAATGTTCTATTATTATTAAAATTTCTGAAAACTTGAATTCTGATGATGTGGATGTCAAGAAAAAGAGTTAAAAGACTCTTGTGGACGACATAATTAAATGCTCAATATTTTCGACTATAATTGTTTATTTCTAAGTCTTAAAAAATATAAAATTGTTTTTAGGTAATTTTTATGTGGGCGACATAATTTATTTTTTATTTATTATTATTATTATTTTTTGATATTCAGGTATCCACCTTATAGTGATTAAATCCTGAAGTCTATATCTTAGCCCCTCAAGCTGCAGACAGGTTAAACCGCAGGTTGTGCCTCAAACTGACCAGTGCTCAAGAGCCCTTCAACTGATCTGTCAAAGTGTCAAGCAAGTCGTTTCCCATCTTTGCACCTTGTCTTCCAATAGAGCTCCTGCCTTCTAGGAGAATATTTGTCTTTCAAGAACTTTTCAGGAATCAAACTCACGATCTCTGATCTGCCAGCTTTGAAGCGCCCTCATCTTTGTCAATTGAAATGTGTCCGGAGGGGGCAAAAATAATTTATTTTTTATTAAACTTAGAATAGGGGGTCTTCCCTTACTAGTGTAGTTACTATTTAGCAAATGGATAAGGTTTTCTTCTGCTGTCAAAAGTACCCAGAAACAGAAAGGTGGGAAATTTTCTCCCGTGGTCCACAAACATTACCACTTGTTTCAATTGGGCTCATTCATTTTTATTATCACTTGTAGGTTCCCTAAAAGAATAGATAACGTGCTTTTCTAGTGATTATCTGACGCAAAGTGGAATGATTCCCGTCCATTTGTCGTCAGGTCCACCAAAAAAGACAGTTTGGAGGTCCAAATGTCACAGAAAAATAAATGGGAACTTAAGTGAACAAACTGGTAATGTTTGGGGACTACGGATTAAATTTCCCATAAATAACACAAAAATAGGTAAATAACGCCGTTGCCGGGGATCGAACCCGGGTCACCCGCGTGACAGGCGGGAATACTTACCACTATACTACAACGACTTTGTCCTTCTGTTTTCCGTTTTGATATAATATAACGTTGTTGATTATTATGCTGCTAATCTGAACAATTTTGAGGGTAACAAAAAGGACAAGAAATTTATCCATGTCTTGAAAAATTGTCCAAATAATCAATGTTAATACTACATCAAACCATATTAAATCTCTCCTTTGTTAGGTTAAATGCTTGGATGATATTTTTTCTTTATAGGGATAACATTCTAATGAGAGTTTCAATGCACATGTGCTTGTCTCAAATTAGGAACACGTAACCTTGAACGTTGATTGAATACCCTACTATCATTGATCAACACTTGTATGATTTCATCGTCTGATATACCAATTGAATATAAGAACAACCACAAGCATTCACAATATATTTCGTGCCTATAAATCAAAGTAATATTGAAACTAAGATCAATTTGCAGATCATTCCCCCATCCTAAAGTACATAACAAAACTCAACTATTCAAAAGGAAACATCCTTTGGCTAAATCGAAGGACATAATTATCAAAAGTTCTAGTTGCAATAATTTTTCCATATGCATAAAATATGCCTAAAGAGGTATTGCAAGGACCATTATAGTTAACAACATGAAGAAGGAGCAACTGTCTTAGCATTAAAAATAGACACTAAGACCATGTTTAGTTTGAATAAAAAGTAAATATTTAGTAAATTTTGAAAAGTTGATGAAATGAGTAAACTGAAAAGTTGTGAATCCAATTAAATTTGTAGTTTAAAATTAGTTTTCGGTAAATAAGTTTTAAGAAATAGAGTCAAACAGGGGATAAATGTTATTGCATATTAGGGATGCCATGCTACACAATACTAGATATATATTTAAAATACATATAAATTAGTTTTCAGTACAATAAGTTTGAAGAAATAGAGTCAAACGGGGGATAAATGTTATTGCATATTAGGGATGCCATGCTACACAATACTAGATAGATATTTAAAATACATATAAATTAGTTTTCAGTACAATAAGTTTGAAGAAATAGAGTCAAACGGGGGATAAATGTTATTGCATATTCGGGATGCCATTTAAAATACATATATATTAGTTTTCAGTACAATAAGTTTGAAGAAATGGAGTCAAACGGGGGATAAATGTTATTGCATATTCGGGATGCCATGCCACACAATACTAGATAGAAATTTAAAATATATATAAATTAGTTTTCAGTACAATAAGTTTGAAGAAATGGAGTCAAACGGGGGATAAATGTTATTGCATATTCGGGATGCCATGCTACACAATAGTAGATAGAAATTAAAAAAAAAAATAAAATACCAAACATATTGTGCGGACAGGCCCATGCAGTGTTGTAGGCCGTCCCACCTAGCAAATATGCTCTTAAGGACCCTCCACATGCAATAAACTTACAACTTCCTTCTGTTGATCAACCTTTAAAATTCTCTCAAAATCCGAACGCATGGAACTTCATGTTTACGTCGGTCGTAGAATTGAGGGTTAGCTAAATCTTGGAGCATTTCTTTGTGTCCAATATTTGAGCAGCTTTGATAATTTGCATCAATGCAAGTCGTGCTAACAGTTATGTAGGCACAAGTTTCGCCTAACTCTATTTTGGCAAGTGGTTTCACTTGTGTGTCCAAATCTAGCTGCACACAAAAACTTCAAAGGGGAACCACCTTTAACTTTTCAATGTGTTCCCGTTACAACTCAAATGAATGAGGTACGAGAGTTTGGCTAAGTTTAAAAGCTTACTTATAAGTGATTAAGTTTATTGTAACGTGTATAATTTCTTGAGGACCAAAATCGAAAATAAATTACTTATTTTGTGAGTAAGGCAAGAGTTATATTCAAAAAAATCTTTTTTTTTCTTGAACAAAAGTGGTATACTTAGCTAAACATGCTCCAGTCATCTTTGCATTGCATGTCTAATGAGCTAAAACATTCAACTGAGAAATTTTACTTATTTTTGCAGTAAGCAGCACAAATTTGCAACAAAACAAAACATTGTGGCGGGGGGGGGGGGGGGGGGGGGGGGGGGT